GGGGGCAGCTGCTGGCCACCGCCCGAAGCGGCTCCCCTTGGCCTGCGCGAAGGCAAACCGTCTCCCTCTCGCTCTTCCTGTGAACGGCCCAGGGGAGGGAGGGAAGGACGGGGGTCGGAGAGGGGCCGCCGCCCCAGATACCTTGCCGAGGGAAGGGCGCCGGCAAGCAGAGGCGGCCCTCCCTCCTGAAGGCGCAGCTTCCTCCGGCTCGCTCGCTCGCTCTCCCTCCCCACCCACCCTCTTTCAACTCGGGGGTCCGGTCCCGCTCAGTGGGCTCAATGAGGGGGGAGCAAAAACAGGCTCACCCTCCCAGGAAAGGGAGGGAAGAGATCCCAGGCCAGAGGCGGCTCTGCCTCCCTCATCCTCCAGCTACAATAGGGTGGCCACAAGGCCTCCGCCGCCCCTCCCCTGCGGACTCACTCCCACTGACCTACTTACCCACCTACTTACCTACCCACCCAACCCCTTCCTCCCTCCCGCCCCTCTGCAAGGCGCGCTCCTGCCCCACAAGACGCGTAAAAAGCCTCTCTAGGAATTTTGGCCTAAGCGTCGCTTTCTCTGTTCACCCGGAAGAGGAAGTCCCCCGTCGTGCCTTTTGACACTTTTGAGTAGCAGTGGAAAAGGGGGGAGGGAGGGGGGAAAAGAGCCATGGAGGTAAGAAAGAAACGCAGAAAAAAAAGGTGGGCAAATCCGACGAAAGGGAGCCGGCAGCGTAGACGAAAACCCAAGGAGAGGCGCGCAGGATGCCCGCTAGGCCGCCGCTGCCCTCTTTCGCGCGCGCGCGCCCAGAGGAGGGCGGGGCCTCCCGGCTGGTTGTGGAGCGCGCGCTCTTGCTCGCCCGCGCTCACGCACACACACACACAAACACGCGCGCCTGCTTCCTTCTCTTCCCACCTCCCCCCCACCCCCAACGGCTCCTTTGCGACCTTCCTCACAACGGCTTGGTTGCCTTTGTTGCCAGTGGGGCGTGGAGGAAGGAGGGAGGGGATGTCTTCAGAGGGAACGTGGGCTTAATTCATTCCTCCCCTCCCTCCCGGGGCCACCACCATTTTGGCTAGTGCTTCTGCTCGAGAGCAGCCTTGCCAAAAACCTTTCTCTCTCTTTGGGCGCGCACTGTGCCTGCCTCTCAGGCGTGGGTCGAGCGGGGGCTGCATTGGTGTGTGTGGGGGGAGGGAAAGGGCATCTGCCAAGCGCTGTTCATTCCCCGGCCTCTCCCTGGGATGCCGATGCCGCAGTTGCCCTCGATGTTCAGCAGTGCAAGGGCGCCCAGTTCCCCTTCGAGGGCCACTTCCACCTCAGTCCCTTCCATGTCTTCATGTGACTGGATGCGCCCCGCTACCGCTGAAACGGCGTTTTTCAGTTGGAAAGCCAGCATATGGGGGAAGAATGGTTCCAGGTCACCCTTTCACGTGACATGGTGGTTTCTTGCAGAGGTGGGAATTTCAAGATGATTTTGGAGGGAGGAGATGGTTTTCCCTAAGGTAGCCCAGTGGATTTTGGCCAATAGATTATTCTGTGGTCTTCAGGGGCAGTAAAATATCAGCACCTGCAAACATCTCAGAGTATCTGTTTCCAAGTTCCCGTGGTGCAATATTTTTGGTGTGCACCATTTGCAGACACTGGCAGGAAACTACTGGGGCTGTTTCCTCACATGGAGAAACGGGCATGTATGAGTTGTTCATGTCAGATAAACTATATACAGATTGCATGCTGTTATATGAAGTGATTTATAGGCATGGCATTTTGATTTGCATGAAGCATACATAAGATGTTTCCAGCTGTTTCTGTAGTTTGTCTATATTACCTGATGATATTGGAGAAGAGTATTTTGTTACATCAGTTTCCTTCAGTACATGAATGGATGTTTCCATGGATGGATGGTAACACAACAGATGCACAATGAGCTAAAAAAGACAGTGAAGGAAGAAGTGGATCTGAAACTAGTGCTAGAGACCTGTAATTTATATTATGAAAAATACACAGTATGCTTTCACTGAAGAGCTGTCTCAAGGACATAAGAGTTTTGTATGATGGGTGCTTGTACAATGATAATCAACGTGCTTATTTAGTAATGTACTCATTCAAGTGGAGTTGCAATGACATTTTGCAATACATCCTCAGGTCCTAACAGGAATGCTTCTATCTCCCCCCCCCCATACTTACGAAACCATTCCCTATCTTGCCGTACAATGCTTGAAGGCTATGATTAAGGGTTGACCACCAGTCCCAGACTATAAGATCAGATATATTTTCAGATATCCAAGTAGGACAACCTGAATCTCTCCATATAGTACGAAGAGAGAAGTTTGACTTCACAGATCACATTCTAATGGATTAAACTCTTTCCCTGAATGATAACATGTTCCCTAAACACTTGTCATTTCTGTTTTAAAACACTCCAAATGGAAATCCTACACAACTTGCAAATTATTATTATTGTAACTCAGAAGTTCTTGTCAGACCACTATTGCAAGAGATTGAAAAATAAAATGGCCTGCGCAGGAAGAAGGGATTTATTTCTTCATAAGCAAGTGACTCCACAAATGCAGAAGGACATGTTTCGGTAAGCCATTGAGAAAATATGCAGGGTGGGGAGGGGTGTTACTTGCTTATGAAGGGAATGGTTCCTTTTCTTGTGTAGCCCATTTTCTGCTCCAGACCGTTAGACAATCACCCAAGCTTTGGTGATTTGGGGAGCAATTAGAAAGGAGAATGATATTGGTAATCTCCCATTGATACGGTGAATTACAGGTTGTATAGGCCTATTGCTGTGGAATACATCCTGTCTGAAACCATGTGTTCTTTCAAAAACGTGCATGGCTTTTATACCTAATGTGAGTATATGTTATGTATTTTTTCAGACCAGCAGTTGTGTCTGCTCTGTATTGTAAATGTCTTTCTGGTTATATATGAAGGTTACTCATTCTTTTCCACATCGTCTACCACAGAATCTGGTTGTATTGCTGCCAATGACTAAGGATCAAACTGCATGACAGCAGCACAATTGTTTGTTTAAACCCATGTTCTTGTACTGCATTCATGTATAAAAAGTGGGGCATGTTTTAAAGAGCAAAGGTGACATATGTAAGATGAGGAGGAATTAAAACATCCTTTCCCCCATAGCTTTCTTCTCCTGTTCCTTCAGTTACCAGAGTACAGCTGTGGGATGGGGAAAAGAGTTCAGACAACAAGTCTGGGAAATATAAAATGGAAGGGGTCTCGCTCCCCATTGGCTCTTTAAATTTGGGGCTTCCTCTCCATTCTATTGTTGATTGGGGCAGGATTGCTTTTCTGCTTTCATGTTAGAAACTAGCAATCAGAGTTCACTGAAGATGTAACTGTTTTGAAACAATTTGAAGTGATTCCTTCTTTCCCCCTCCATTTTCTTGAGTGGAAAGTGCTTCCCCCCTCCACTTTCTTTGCAAAAAGCTGCTTTTCCCCTCGCAAAAAGTGGAGGGGGAAAACAGCTTTTTGCAAAGAAAGCGGAGGGGGAAAGCACTTTCTTCCCAAGAAAGTAGAGAGGGAAAGCAGGAACCAAAGCGCTTTGATTCCTGCCTTTCCCCTCCACTTTCTTGCAAAGAAAGAAATTTTGGGTTAGAAAAGGGGGGTATCTTATACATGGGGATGTCTTATACACTGAAAAATATGGTAATTATTGGGATTAAATTGAAGCAGCTGGCTGACTGTCCCTTTAGAGAAGCCTCTTAGTGATCTTTAAGATCCTGAGAAATGGAAAACTTCCATTCAGCTATCCTTTGAAGGGCAGGGGAGAGGATGTTTTGCATTTTTAAAAATTGTTGCTAAGATACAGTGGTGCCTCGCAAGATCGGCACTCCATTTAACGACAAATGCGCATTGCAACGAGGTTTTTGCGATCGCAAAAGATCGCAAAACGACGTTTTGAATGGGGGAATTTCGCTGCCCGATGATCAGTTCCCTGTTTTGGGAACCGATTTTCGCTTCCCAATGATTAAAACAGCTGATCGTCGGGTTTTCAAAATGGCCGCCAGGTGCTCAAAATGGCTCCCCGCTGTGTTTAGGAGCCATTTTTCGCTGCATAGGCACCTGAAAATGGCCACCCTTATGGAGGTTATTTGCTGGACTGTGAGTTCTTAGCTGATTGGAACACATTAACCAGGTTTTAATGCGTTTCAATGGCTTTTTTATTTTCACTTTACGATGGTTTCGTTCTACAGCTATTTCACTGGAACGAATTAACGTCATAATGCGAGGCACCACTGTACTAGTGATTCTTTGAAAAGGTTTTTCTAAGCCCTGTCAAACTATGAGTGATGCACTGTGTCAGTTAGTAACCATTAAAAATGGAAAGCTTTGTTTACCTTTCCCTCCAAAGGAGAGCCAAGCAGAAATGTTTCATTTTTTAGAGGCAAGATCATCAAGAGGTTTCTCCAAGGGGATAGCCACCCAGTTGCTTAACAGACTTGAGAAATCTTTCCCTTTAAAAGAAAAGGATCTTTTCTTTTAAAGGGAGAAAGGATCCTGATTATGCTAAACAGCATAGCTTGAGATGTGGTATGCTTTCCTTACCCAAAACCACCTGATCCTTGTAGGTGGATGCAAAGATTGCACGACATACTGTACCTTTATGCAACCTTAGCTGACCCTATTTAGCTCAGTCTAGCCCATTCCAATTTGTCATTCTAGCCTAGCCCTTAGTTTCAAGTTGAGATTTTGTTTCCAAAATATATCTGATGTGTTTCTTGAGAACTACAAAGATAGGTAACTTGAAATTTATTTATAGGCTGTCAAGAAGCATGGAGACAAATGTGAGTCCTATTTAAAAACAACATCCAACATGAGATGCAGAGAAGGTTGCTTTTCATATGGGTGTAAAGACTGACTAGAAGGGTACACACCTGAGTGTGCATAGTAAATTTCATTTACAGCATTATTTGACAAGTATGAGGGAGTGTAAAGCAGTCCTTACATTACCATGAAATTTGGTTCTGCCTGGCTTCTGCCTAGAATGGAGACAGACACCACGTCTTTTCCTAATCTAAAGATGTTACCTATAGAATCAGAGAGCAAGAACAAATTGTAGCCATTGACACTAGAGAAACTCTTATTGCCTTTAAATAGACTATGAAATCTTTGGGGAAAATCTCAACTTATAAATATTATTTACACAACTCTCCTAAGTAAAAGTTGTGGCTACACAAATTGAATCTTGTTCTATATGGGTTTGGGTTTGCCAGTCTAGAATACAAAAGCAGAAACGGCAATTAAAAGCAGTTGTACATGACATTTCCTAATTCCCCCAAGGTCAGAACTAACATTTCTGATTACTTTGATGGGTTTGTGATTAGATTGTACTGAAATAAAGAAACACCTAGGTTCATCTTGGGCATGGATTGGAATCAGGCTAGAGTACTGTCTGTATGGCATGTGGTGGCTGGGAAATAGCTTGTGCCAGACCATGCCACAAGAAGTCCAAATTGCAAGCTATTTCCCCTTCTGATTGCATCCTCGGTTAGATAAAGCAAATGTTGAAGTATTCTGAAGCAGTACAGTATTTTGAAGCTGGTAGTATTTTTTGAGCATACTGTTATTTTCACATGTTCAAATTATTGTTTGCATTAATTTTATTTTTGTTTTTTTAGATGTTTGACTGGAATAAGCAAGCTGATGAAACCTCTCCTGCTTCAGCACAAGGTATGCTTAAGTGTGGGGGAAGATACAGGCAGAACATCAACATCTAAATCAAAAGTATATTTATGGCAGGGCAGTAAATAAATGAAAGCTGGAAAGCAAGAATAATTTTTTGAGGGAGTTGTTTTTCTTACCAGTATCTTTTTTCTTTATAGGTATAGAAATAAAAGGTATTGAAGAATCTGTACAGCAGGAAAGTAGTACCAGGTAAGTTAAAGGGGGGTGCAGAATCAAAATGAAGCCGTTTCTTCATATTTTTAACTTAGCAAGCACTTTCAGCTGTGCTCATATTTTTATCTAGAACTTGCAGTGATTAATAAAAACATCTAGTGTAGGCTTCAGTATTCAAGTTACTTAAAAAAAATCTCTAAGCTTGTGATATGCTTATGTATTATGAATGTATCCGTAATCATGAGTAGCTAGGTTAGATAACCGATCAATCTTGAATAATTGCACACTCTTATTTTATGCAGTCATTTTATTTAGCCATATTATTTTATGTGGTCAGTGCCTCCCCAGTACGTCTTTGAAGGATGCTAGATAAGTCTACCATGCAAGTGACAGGTGAGTTTCAGGTCTGTCACGCAGATGTCAGCTTAGTGTCAGCAACCAGTGTTCTAGCATTTATTTATTTTTTTCATTATAGCAGTTCTTTGAATCAAGAGGCCGCTGTATGGCCAGCAGTCTAGTACCCCTCCAGTTCCTATAAGCTCCTTTATAAGCAGTCCTTCACTTGCCACTCATCTATTAAGGACCATGGTCTTGTCTTCTTAATACTGTATGAACTTCTTTCTTCCAGCATAGAGTTTAGATCAGACAGCATGTTGGATACAAACGTATCTTCCAGAGTGCACTTGGGTTCCCTAAAACTAGGGGGAAAGTATAAAACTGGAAGTGATTGAAATCATAAAGTTGCAGGGCTAGAATGGATGCCAATACTTGAACTCTAGAACAGAAAAACCATCAAATGAATGAATCTTAGTTTTGAAAAATTGATTTATTGGTATAAAACACTGCAGTGGAACACATCTATTTAAAAGGCGAATTACTGTTACAGATGTCTATAAATTGACATTCATCCATCTGTCTGACTGTCTTTCTTTACTCCCTCCCTCCAATTTTTGCAGTAATTAGGTTTCCTTAAATGTAACAGGTTTTCCTAAATGCCGTACCTCCTTCTTTCCTTCCTCTGATTGCATCCTTAGCACTATTCCATCTAGTTAATTTTTATGAGACTGGATTTTGTTTTTGTTTTGGCTTGACCATCTGTGTAATTACATGCTAATGTGGTATCTCTCTTAAAAGCGTAATCTTCCTTCAGTTAATGTTGCCTGGGTTTCCTTCCCTATGTACCATTACAGTCTCAGGTGTCTTCCATGTACTCATCTTAGCTCACTACCCCAATTATATATGAAAATGGATGCCACTTAGCACATCTTGCTATGTTAATGTATGTTATTATGTTGTTACAAAATTGGAAGTATATTTGTGGATAAGAAGGAAAGTTGCACAACAGTGCAAACCCTTTCTCCAGCATCCTTTTATACTGCCATTTCATATCTGAAGAGCTCACCTATTCCTGGGATGGTGAACTTCACAGTTTATGCTCCCTGTGTAGAATGAAACAGCTATTGCCTCTCTGGCTGTGAGCTTCCTTCTGATTTTATGGTAGTAGAGTCCTTAGCCACTCATCTTTTCGCTTCCCAGAGGTTTTGGTCTAGAGGAGGGAGTTGTGAGGAAGAGCCACAGGAAGCCTGATTTGTTTTATTGGAAAAATAGAATGTGAAACAATCTGATCTTAAATAAATGATACTACAGTATAATGTTTAAGATGATTCAAAGACCTTCACATTTTTTCTTATTAATAATTAATCCATATGTTTCTGACGTTCAGATTTAAGTGTTGGTGCTTATGCAGCTAAAATGCAGCTACCAAAACATAAGATGAGAAGTATCCACACACTAGTCTAAGGCCTATGTTTTGCAGAACTACCAAAAATCTTTGCGGAGGGGAATCTGCTAAATCCCCAGCCGGCCCAGCCAGGATTGAACTTGATCTATAGCTCTGAATAACTGGCCTGGATTCTTTTACCTAGTTAATCTTGGCACAAATGGTTTAACTTTTGGAGTTGAATAGATTTAAGTCTAAAAGCCATTGTAGACATTATTGGTTGCATATGGGATTCTGTGACTTGACATGCAACTAATAATGTATATGGTATTTTCTTAACTTGAGGCAATTTCTGTCTCAAAGTTCCTCCATTTTGCATAGCTACACAAGAGGATTATGTCTTCTATCTATGTGAAGAGAATGTAAGACTGGGAGTTGAGAGAATGGAATGGAGAGTCACAGAGGACAGCATGATTGACTGACTAGAACAGTGGAGAAGAGCATTCTACACAGCTTCATCTTATTGCTGATCCCACTTATATTTCATAATTTTGTTATGTAAGGAGAAATGTTGACATGACTGTTGATAAAGTTGCTTTCGTTTAAATGCACAAACCTTGATTGTCCTGACATTCAGAAAAAGGGAGTGGTGATACGTGATCAAAAGTGAATGTTTCTTAAAGGTGGTCTTTCTATGTGAGATTTGGGGGACATACATACCAGTACACCCAGAAGCATTGCAGATCTACTTTCTGGACAATCTTGTCTTAGAATATATTGAAGAATTAGATTACTGTAATCTATTTCATTTAAAAATATTATTAATTAGAAACATTTTAATGGTCTGATATGTGGTACTTATTGCTGGAATTAATTTGCAGAAGTTATGGTGTTTGGCTCTCTGCAATCCCAGACAAATGGTCTATATGAATAATGTAGCATAGTTGTCACTTTTTTAAAAAAAAATTACCAGCTTTGAGCAGTTTGAAAAGTACTGTATGTTCAGTCTTCAGAGCAGTAAGTCAAAAAATTGCAGTACCAATGATCAAACTAAGATTTTTGAATGATTTGTAGTTCAATCCAGCAAGATATTTAATAATTTAGAAAGTATAATGTTTTAGAACCATAACACCTTCACTCATCTTAGGAAGGGATGAGACAGTAGCTTTTGCCAACTTCTTTTGGAGTTGGATGACAACAAGGGGCAAAACAGCAGCAAATCAGCAAGAAAAAGAAGAGAACAGGAAGTATAATCCCAAAGAAATGAATGTAATAGTTCTTTATAAACAGCTGACATGTTTCAGAGTGAAACATTTCTTAATGAGCTCCAGAGAGGAAGGGTAATATGAAATAGTAATACTTAAGGTATAAAAACTGTTTTAAAATGATAAATCTATAACATGTGTCACATTTCAGTTGTCACATATAAGTATTTGCACATTTTTTATAATCTTGAGTTTTATGATTCAGTTCTTCAGCAGTTATTGACTATAAAGACGTTATTAAAATCTGGATATTTACTTTGAGTTTTTCTGTAAGAGAGGATATTTTGTACATGCTTACATTTAGTGTCAACTTTCTTAAAAGTTTCTGGTCAATAATGTCTGTTTTTCCTCCCGGGAATAAAGGATGTTTGACAAGAGGGAGGAGCTATTTTTAAAGCACACATGCAAATATGTTTTAGTTTTACAATAAAATGTGTATTCCAAGTGTTTCAGAGATTTCTAAAATGAACTTTGAGATCTTTTACATTATTGTGATAGGCTCTTTTTGAACTCTTGAGAACCTTATGGTTTTTAACATTGCTGTATATATTATCTATATTAAGGTTACTGGCATTTTATTTTTATGGCTGTTTTGTTGCTTGTTTTCTTGTTTTGTTTTTATTTTAGTGACTGTTTTATTTTTATATATTTCATTATCCTATATTTTCTATTGGATGCGTCTTATACTTTGATCTCATAAAAGAGCATTTTGCTCTGAAATAGGTTAGCTGTTTACACAGTAAATGATTGTGATATACTATTTCATTTGGCAGTGGACTTCCTGTTCTCTTCTTTGCCTTTCTCTCTGGTGATGGGCCTGGCCAAAACTTTTGTAGGGTCTTGCTAAAGGAAATCTTTTGACTCCTTGTTATTGGCCAAAGTCCTGTTGGATGTTTACACACAAATAAAAGGAATTGGAGAAGTTGCAACACCTAATTGTTGCTAGTTGATGAAACACCAGGTACACAGTCAGAATCATAGCCAGGCATGCAAGCAATAAGTGCCTGGCATCTTCTGAATTAACCCTGTCAGTTTCTTTGTCTCTTCTTGCTTCTGTGTAAATATCCTATAGGCTTCTGGCATTTATTTGAGATTTATAACCTGCATAATTATGTAGTGATTGCGACTTCATTCCTTTTTGGATAAATGTCAGTGAATTTTGTTTTGAGTATTCTTTAATAGGATCCGTTTTAATATTTGGGTACAATAGCTTGCAAGTCTCATAAGTTTTTCCCTCCTCTGAAAACAGGTGAATGAATCAACATTTCTGTTTTTCAGTTTGAGCATACAAGGACCAGAGCTGTCTGGGCTTCCGGTTATGCAGAGCAGGCAAGGCTATTGCAGTTGCTGCCATGTGCACTACAATAATCTTGAACAGGTATGAGAGTAAGGGCAGAATTTTCTCTCTGTCATTATGGGAATATCAGTTTCCATTATGTGTTGAAATTTGATCAGATTCTAATCCACTAGGATGTTTCTGAAAACGTGAAAATAAAGAATAGGAAGGGGTTGTTTCTTGAGTACTGTTTCATGTCTATAACACAACTGGCAGAATTGTCAGGCATATTATAATGAGTGGAAATTGTGGTTCAGATAAAAGAACAGAATCACAATGTGAATATTAAGTGTAGAAGTCCTCAAGCTAAATTGTTGAGAGAAGCTGCACACCTGTCCACTGCAGCTATGAGAAGAGGTGGCATATGTGGCTAATAGAACCAATAGACAAGGAGACCCTATGTGTTGGAGCCATTGAATAAGAGCTGGAGAATTATGGCTTGTGAGAAGCACATTACTTAGGATTTTCTTCATACAACTCCAGCATACTTGCAGTATACTTTGGGAACATTGGAATATAGTAGGTATAAAAGTGAGATATGGCCTCAGGAAAAAGCATTACTTCCCTGTGCTACCCAAAATATAGCAATTGGCAGAACTGCAAGGAAAGTAACCTCTTCCTGTGAAAGAGCCTTGTGTGACAACTTGCTTCCCATTCTCAGAGGGCTGTAGGGCATGGGAGGATGCCTTGGTGGTATCTGGCCACAAATAATGCAGAAAGCCCCCAAAAGGTGACATAGTGGCCAATGTCCCCACTTCAGTGAAAAAGTCAGCCATCCCTGTTCGTTACCTTGGTTGGGAAAGGAAATGAAGAAAAAGAGGAAATCATCAGATGTGTGTACCACTAACATCTTTCAAATTCATCTTCTAATTAATTTTCCCTTCATCTTCTCATTCATCTTCCTGTTTTGGCAGCTGTCCTGAATGATGTGTATTCTAATAAAATCAGTGATTAAGTTTGAGCAACTGTTTACTATGAAGCACTTTTTCTTCCCTTCTTCAGCATGTCTACAGTTCCCAGCACAGACATTTTGCCACTTACTGCAGGAACCGTATGGGTACAACTAGTCTTATGGAACGCTTCTTGCAAGATGTTTTGCAGCATCATCCCTACAGATACCAAGACAACAGGTAGAAAAGTGGGTTTGGTGGCTTATGTGAGTGTTTTATAATATCTATTCATTGTAGACCATCTTAGTGTAAACATGGCCCATCTGATTAAATTGTGTAGTGTGATATAGCTTGCATCTTTTTTTAATTTTGGTATTGTCTTCATATCATCTGTAGCCAATGTTCTAAAAGTATATGTTGAAATTCTGAGCTAAGGTGCACACATAGGTTCAATAGAGATGTAGGAAAGCAGTCTATGGGAGCTTTCTGTTTAATTGATTAATAAGAGTGAGTGAACTTGTCTGTTTCCTTTTTTGTCAGTAGCACTGTCATTTTTAAAAGTATAAACTTGTGCCAACTCTGCATGAGTAGTCTTAAACATGTGTTTTTTCTACATGTGAACATTTGCAGTATTCCTTTAATATACACATTTTCCAAGTAGTTTTCCCTAATATATTCCCCTTTGTCTGCAATTTTGCCTAAATGTGTGTTTGTGTACACATTTTTATTGAGCAATTTAGAGAGGTACAGAAAGTGAAGGATAATTCTATTGCTGTGTATTCTTGAAGGCTTTCATGGCTAGAATCCAATGGTTGTTGCGGGTTTTTCGGGCTGTTTGGTTATGTTCTGGAAGTTGTTCTTCCTAACATTTAGCCAGTCTCTGTAGCCAGCATCTTCAGAGGACAGGAGCTAGAATTCTTGTTCAATGGCTTCAGGGAAGCCATTGAAATACACAAACACCAGCAGAGCTTCAACAGAAAAGAAGAAAGTCTAAAAATCAACAAAGCCTGGCTCCCAGCACTGAACAACACAGCCTGCAAGAAGGTCAGTGAACTCTACCCAGCCACAAGGACTGGTGATCACTGCACACAAAAGCCAATAACACCCATCAATCACAGTAACAGATAATCTCCCCCCCATCACAACAAAACACCAATAACAAAAAACACCCTGATCACAGGAAATACCCAATCTACTGAAAAGAACAAAAACCTTGATCCCATAGCTACAAATGCTCAACAATCCCACACACTACACGAGAACACAGACAAGAGTTCTAACTCCTGTCCTCTGAAGATGCTGGCCACAGAGACTGATGAAATGTTAGGAAGAAAAACCTCCAGAACACGGTCAAACGGCCCGAAAAATGTACAACAAGCAATTCTGTTTCTGTTTGTGCATTAGTTCAGGAAGTGCAGAGTACGAGATAAACACATGTTGCCCCATTATTATTAATTAATCTTTTGTATATCTCTAGACTACATAAAATTGTGTAACAGTTGCTCAATTTTATTATTGTTTAGCTGTCACTTTGCATTTTATCTTACACATTATTTTATAAATTGGAGATTGAAGTCCTGTCACCCAGTAAAGGTGAAATAAGTAATATACAAGTAATTATGGGCAGAGGAAGGTACAGCATTGGCACTGTAGCAGTTAAACCTAGAAGAACAGGGGACATATGATCGAAGGCTGTGCCTTGTTCTAGCTCTGTTGCCAGTAGCCAGACTCGAAGTAACTCACTGAGCCAAAATTCCACTCTATCCTTGATGTGGTTAAATGGCAGATCTGCCTTGAATAAAGCCCAACTTATTCTAGACCTGATCTTGGAGGAAGCAGCGGATCTGGCCTGTATCACCCAGATCTGGGTGGGTGCAGAGGGTTGTATAGCCTTCTCATTAATTTGCCCACCCAGATATTCCATCCAACACCAAGGTAGACTGCAAGGGGAGTTGCCACTATTTATAAAAACATCTTGGAGGTTGTTAGGCTCTCTGCCTTGACAATCCCAGGCCTAGAGGCTTGTCATGTGTCGGTGGGGGCCAGGGATGGATTTGGGATGGTACTAGTCTACCATGTTCCCCATGATCTAGCACTCTCCTTTCTGGAGCTGATTGGCTTCGTCTCGGTGGTGGCATTAAAGTCCCCCAGGCTCCTTGTCCTGGGGAATTTCAACATCCATGCTGAGATTGGGGCCACAGGTCCAGCTCTTGAGTTCTTGGAAACCATGGCTTTCTTGGACATGTCCCAATTTGTCAGTGGTCCCACCCATGTGACGGGTCACACATCAGACCTGATGTTCTCAACTGGACAGGGAGAGAGTAATCTGAGCCTGACTGGCTTGGTGTCAGTCTGTCTTTCATCGTCAAACCACCATCTCTCAGAGGCACCCCCCCCCAGTGGGGAGCTGGGACCTATTAAGATGGTCTACCCTGTTTGATCCATTGGTTTCTAAGATGCAATGTGGGGGATACCAGCTGATCTAGTTGGCATTCTTGGTGAAGTTCTGGTGGATGGATGGTATGCCTCAGTTGAGGTCGACAGAGTGCTTGATCGCTGTAGGGCCACCACATCTTCCTTAGAGCCTAGCCTGGCCTGGCTCTTCAAAGTGGCCAGACCATTTAACAATGCAGTAGCTACAGCTATTATTAATGGGTCTCTCCTTGAGGGTCGGGTCCCCCTTACCCTGAAGGAGAGGCTTATTTAGGCCAACTCGTAAAAAGCCCAACTTGGCGGCGGACAGTATTAACAACAATAGACCCATCACCAACATCCCTTTTATCAGCAAGCTAGTGTAGAGAGTAGTGACTGACAAGCTTCAGGCACTTCTGGAGGAAACCAGTGCCCTCGATCCATTCCAATCCGGGTTCAAGCCATGTCATGGCACGTAGATGGCATTGGTTGCCCTGCAAGATGACCTTTTGAGGGAGACAGATAAGGACAAAACATTCTTGTTGGTCCTCCTCGGCCTGTCAGTGGCCTTTGATACCATCAACCACGGTATCCTCCTGGGGAGGCTCTCTGAGTTGGGGATTGGAGGCCTGGCCTTGGTCTGGCTCTGGTCCTTTGTAGAAGACCATCCCCAGAGAGTACAGCTTGGGGAGATGCTGTCTGCTCCGTGAACTCTCAATTGTGGAGTCCCACAGGTTGATCATCTCACCAATGCCACCAATATGTGGATGACACCCAGCTCTATCTCTCCTTCCATCCTTCTGCAGCGGATGCTGTCCCGTCGCTTGAGCGCTGCCTGGACGCCGTGCTGAGGTGGATGAGGGACAATAGACTGAGGCTGAGCCTGGACAAGACGGAAATCCTGCGGGTGGGAGCCCCTAGTGTCTGCAGTCTGGGAGCTTCCCTCTCTTTTGGGGGGGGCACTCTTTCTGCAAAGGATGAGGTTCGCAGCTTGGGTATACTCCTGGACCCAGCACTATCAGTGGAATCTCAGATAGCATATGTGGTCTGTTCCGCCTATTTTCATCTAAGCGGATTGCCCAGCTACATCCCTACCTTGACACCAGGTCCCTCCCCATGCTGGTTCAAGCATTGGTAGTCTCTAGATTAGACTATTGTAATGCTTTCTATGTAGGCTATCCATGGGGCTGCTACAGAGACTTCAGCAGATCCAGAACTTGGCGGCTGGATTATTGAGTGGGGTAAGGAGACGTCAACACATTTTCCCTACTCTGGCTGCCCTGCACTGGTTACCTGTCCGTTTCTGTGCCAGCTTTAAGGTGATGGTGTTAATCTATAAGGCCCTAAAGGGTTTAGGACCTCAGTATCTAGCAAAATGCCTCCTTCCAACTAGATCTGCCTGTCCTATAAGATCATCTCAGGCTGGGTGGTTGAGAGTTTCAACCCCAAGAGAGGCCTATAAAACGATGACCAGAAATCGGACCTTCTTGGCAGTCGCTCTGCAACTTTGGAATAGTCTCCCATCCAAAATTCTCCTTAGCCCTTCACTAGGAACTTTCAAAAGATTACTAAAAACATGGCTGTTTAGGCCGGCCTTTCCGGACTCTGGAACATCTTAGTACAGTGCAGCTTTTAATAACTATACATTCAACCCTTCACCATGCCTTTATTGTTTTAATTTTTTATTTTTATTAGTGTTGCACTTTGTTTTAGTTGTTAATTGGTTATTTATATAGTTATTTTGTAATGATGGTATTTGTAAACCGCCCAGAGTGGCTTTGGTAGCTAGATGGGTGGTATATCAAATAAATAAATAAAATCTATGCAACTCCTGAATTACTAATGTCAGGTAATTTTTTGCATATTGGTAGAATTTTAATGCACATATTCAGTTAATATCCATTTGGAAAGTGATGAGAGCCCTGTGCTCCACCAATCTGTTGTTTGTATGCTCCCCAAAGAAAAATATGTTTGTACTCAATTCTTTTTTTAAAATATTTTTACAAAAAGCAGGGAGATTACACTACTTGGAAGTGCAGTTCCCTTGTAAAAGAAGGTATTGCTCCCAACTAATCCCCCCCCAAAGAAACCCACAACCAACCAAACCATGGCCAGTATCCTATTATTTGGGCTAACATAAGAAAAATATTATAAATTGTAGCAGCAAATTGCTGCTAGTTAATGTCGTTTCTGGGGATGTGCCATTCATTGGGGGCAGCTTGGAGGGAGATGGCTCAAAATACCAGAATTCTGCATATTGGGAGTTCCACCTTTCAGACCCACACCTAAATTGTGCTAACTTGAACAAAGCTTAGGCTTGAAGGCTTTATGGCCTATGATAGACCAAGCTCAGCCTGTCCTAGATCATGAAGCCTTCACTCTATTCCTTGTCATGTGCTAGTTGTGTGACTTGGTGCTCACTGAGAAATATAAGCAACAGATCATTAATGACGGGCCATTTGCCAATGCAGTTTATGCCATTGCACATATGCTGACATAAATAATCAGTAAGATTCTGACACCAGCTCTTAAAAACTGGAAATGTTTAGAACTAAAATAAAATTAGAAAAAGGTGACTGGTCACTTCTTGTTTCATCTTGGGCTAGTGTGGGGATGTAAAAATGGCCATTGAAGTCCATTCATGCCTACATTTCAATGTCCTTACAAGGTCGTAGTATGAAGAATGAAGAAAAGTGACTACAGTACTTAATTTTTGTTTCAGGATTCACCATAAGAGATAAGAGCATAAGATACTTTGGTTAAGATCCTACTAGTGTTCATGTAAGGTTTGCATAACTTGCTACTGCTAATTCATGAGATGTCAGAAC